TCGGGTTTTATAACTCATATATTTGTGTTCTACTCCTGCACCGAATTAGATGAAAGGCAGCAAAATAGTGATTCAACCGAGTGATTTGTGTACCACACCTACTGTACTTTGTGGGTGATTGGGTTGCTTCCGAGACAATCCCTAGCTAACGTTGTGGAAAATGATGAACACAAAATAGGAGCTTCGACTAGCTCCACAACATTGTCAAAGCCTATAGGCTTTAATGGAGTGCAATTTCACTCTATTAACATTCAAAATCTCATACGGATGGTAACAATTAATGTTCATAAAAACAAAAACAATTCATAATGAGCAAGTCTAGAAGTGATAGTAGGATCTTCACAATTGTGCTTCTTTATTAAAGGTAATGATAATGGTAGATTGCGTATGAAATTACAAAAGAATGATATTCCTTTAACTAAAGACATAAATCGATATAGTGAAATTGGTAACTCGATATGAAAGGAATCGATGTAAAGAATATCTAAAAGTTTTAATTACAATTCATGCCCAAGAAGTAAACAAATGATAGCATATCATCTCTTTAAATATATATGGTGTACAAAGTATTATGAATAGGTGTTGGGTAAAAAAAATCTTTGTGTGGGACACCGTATTAGTTTTTTGGGTGTGCAATTAAGAAAATTTAATGACCAAATTAGACCTATTCAAAGTAAAGATTGTACAGGGAAACATCCAGTTGCAATAGTGCTCGGGGTGTTCTTTCTGTATGGGACCCGACAATTTCTGTTGCGTTTAATGTGTATAGATAAAATGTTATTATTTTTTTAAGTTGATGGCTTAGATGATACATACACAACGTTATTTTGATGTTCTCGTAAAAAACTGAATATTACATTCTACAACTAAGATAATAGTCTAAGATTACATTGTTAGTCTATTATCTCATAGATTATAAGAATTTAACAGTTATCCCACCTTTTTATGAATTGATGATGAAATATTATAAATTAATAATAAGATCATTTGGTCAAGATGCTCCGTGTGGCCAATCTTCTCGAAACAGAGGAATCCAAGGTTAGACACTTTTCAACCAAGAAACACAAATCTTGAATTCCCATTCTTCAATTTCACTTTTGCTTTATAACATTCTAAGATTTCGATCAAAGTTTACTTTTGTTTTATTCTTTAATTACGTGAAAGTAATCTAGAAAAATATACGTGGATATTTAATAAACAATCATTCACTTAACCAATTCGGTAAAATGTTAGATTTTTATAATCAATTTTTTACAAAAGGAATTGATTATCAAACCCATTAAAACTAACAAATGAAGTTACATTTTATACTTCATGATTTAAATAATTTATGCTGTCCATAAATAAAACTGGATCATATAATTAAATGGGGTAAATTACATGAATGGTCCCTGTGGTTTGGGGTAATCTGTGTAGTTGGTCCCTAAGAAGAATTTTTAGTTCGGACGGTCCCTATTGTTTGGTTTTGTTGCGTGTTTGGTCCCTACCACTCTTAAAAAAGACTGTTTTGCCCTTACTGTTATTTTTTATATTTAAAATTCATTTTAGTAATTATTTCTTATTTTCACTATTTATATTATTATTATTATTGAAAAACATAATTAGATTACCTCCTCCTTTAATCCAACCCACCCCTTCACTCCTCCCGCCGTTCACCATCTTCTTCCGGTAATCCTCCACCCAACCACCATCAACCTTTCTTTCTTCTTCAGCAAGGCTGTCGTAAAACCTCCACCAGAGAAAAAAAACGTCGAAGAAACCAGGAATAGAAACTGACAAATCTGAAGCAATGTGGAAATCAAACCGGAAGAAAATCGTCGGAGAAATCAGATCAGGAAAAGCAAGCTTACAGAAACCAGATCGCCGGAGAAGGTGGAGGAAGCCGGAGAAAACAGAGAGTCCGACGGGTTGTCCTTCTATTTAACCCCACCCCGTCGCTCACCCCACCCATTTATCCCTTACTGTCGACACCTTATATCAAAAACCCTAACATCCTTCTCCTCCCATTGAAACTGGTGATTCATAGGGTGAAGGCACCGTTGAAACTCCCGATTGAAATCGTCTGTGTCTGAAGTGAACTAGAGCCACCCCAACCATTGGCATTTGTATTAGAAACCATGTGAATCAGAGCTTACTTTGATTTTTACACCTTGTTTGAAAATCGTTTCAGCAACCTCATGAATCGGATTCTGATTTTGATTTTCATCTTGTTCGTTTGATTTTGTTTTGATTATCACCAAATCTAGTTTTGATTAACATCGATTTTGGTTTCAATTTCCTTCGAGTTTGGTTTTCATTACTAACAGGTTTGATTTTGTTTTGATTGTCACTGGATCTTTTAGCATAGGGGGAAGAAGACGAGTTGGTTGTATTGGTCTATTACCTGCCTTTTTTTTTCAGGTGGCAGAGGACTGTGGAGGCTACCGGAGGGGCTGTGGAGGTTGTCAGAAGCTTGGTCTAGGACTTCTACGTTTTCATTGATTTAAGAGAGAGAGAGAGAGAGAGAGAGAGAGAGAGAGAGAGAGAGAGCAATGAGATAGGAATGAACCAGTGAAGTTGTGGTGGGTGGGTATTTTTGTTTTTAGAATTATAAATTATAAATAAACAAATTAAAAAAGAAATTAATAAGGGTAAAAAAGTCATTTTAGGTCAAATAGGGACTAACGACGCAACAAAACCGAACAATAGGGATTGTCCGAGTTAAAAATTCTTCTTAGGGACCAACTATACAGATTACCCCAAACCACATGGATCCATTCGTGTAATTTACCCAATTAAATCAAAGTGAACCAATTGGTTTACTTGTTTCATTCTTACATCTACTTATCCATATGTACCGAACAAATATAAGTTTATTAAAAATAAATGGGACTCTGCCTACATGTGCGCTTACGTACTATGGATTATGTTGGTGTGGGCAAGATGCCTACACTGAAAATTTAAACTAATGTCAATTTTGCAAATATACACTTTCATGGACTCAATTAAGATTTTACAGTAGATGTGTCACAGGAAATTTTAATAGTTTCACTATACCAAAAAAAAAATCAAATTTTTTGCACTACGTCCGAAAAAACCATACGTGATGCCATTATGGGCACCATAGTAAAACCGCCAGTGTACACTTTATATAAAAACCTTTCAATTAATTTATTATACAAAAATTAAATAAATAATAACCACTTATTTTACTTGATTTGTATATTTAAATATATATAGTTTCATTGTTATGTATTTATTTTCGCTTAGATTCGTTTTAGATGCAACACTTGGCCAAGAAACTATCGTTGTCTTAAATGCTCCACAAAATGTTTTTGAATAACGCGGATGCAGTCAAATCAGTGGTCAAACATAACACTCGTTTTAATAAATAATTTTTTGTATATAGAAATAAATAATTTTGACCTTTAAATAAATAATTTTTTCAGTGATTTTAATTATCTTTTAAATAAGCTTTTTCTATAAATCTAATTAATTTATCCACATTTATATAAAATATTTTATAAAATCTTCTTTCCTAATTAGTCTATTTTTAAACATAAATTATATTTTAATACGAACATATATATAATTATATCATATACGGAAAATATGAAAAATTCTTATATAATAGTTACAAAAATAAAATAAAAAGAATGAAAATATTATCATTATAAAATTTATATTTTATGGATGAGATGTGATCAAATATTTAATACAAAAAATTAAATAGTAAAAAAGTTAGAAATAAAGTATTAGTAAAGAGATAAAATGAAATATGATTAAAATGTAAGGGGTTAGATGTATAAATAATGAAATTATTTTGACCCTAAATATAATTGAATGGTCAAAATAAAAAACAAAAAATGATATGTAGTCCTAAGTATTAAGTAATCAATAAGAAAAAAGTTTGCAGTAACAAACTATAAAAAAATTGTCATCAAAAGTCTAAAAACATATGGTATGGGCAACGAGAAATGCTATTATTGCTGATTTGGCACCTCATAACCTAGTCATAACAAGATGAATACCACCCCGCCTTCTTGTTATATCTAGTTATGTTGCTTCTTGTTGTGACCATGACTAGATGAAACGTGATCTTCTATTGGCTGCACAAATTCTCTCTCTCTATCTCTCTCCTCTTAACGGGTGTTATAACACCATGAACATCACCCCCTCTTCTTGTTGCTTCTTATTAAAACACCACTTCAAGTTGCCCATACCTAATAGTCCAAGGGATTAGATGAAAGTAGAAACCATATTGACCATTAGTTGTGTGTGCATGTAGTTTTAATAGACTGGTTTAGAGTTGTAGGTGAGGAGGAGAGGCGGACAGAGGTGGTTTTCCGTTGGTCGGGTGAAGGGGCTAAGATGGTGGTAGAGTATGTTTTAGGGTTTTCTATAGTGAGAATGTTTAGAAGAAGAGTCTAAGAGGGGTTGTGAAATGGAACATTTTAATTTGTTTTATTAACAAAATAAAAACTAATAATAAAACTAAATAAAAAAATAAGAAAGGGCACAAGGGTCATTCAAGTTGGAGAAATTAAATATCTTCTTATTTTTTATTCCTACAAATACTCATGCCTAATTAAATAGTGACATGTGTAACATTTAAAGATATTTTAATATACTAATATTACATATGTTATCATTTAATTGAATATGAGGATTTGTAGGAACAAAGCTAAAAGAATATTTAATTTCTCTTCAAGTTGGCATTGGCGATGGACGAGAAACACAATAAAGAAAATACGTTAGAGATAGTTCGAGTGAAAAAAAAAACTTAAGGATCGAATGTTCAATTTCACCATACTACAAAAACAATTTCAGTAATTTTTTCTATTATTTATTGTAAATAAATTTTATATATACCTAGTACGCGATTGTCAAAATATTATAAAAAATATTATAAACACTCATTTATGTTTTATGTTTGTTGAAGATATTTTGGAACAAAATATTTTCTACCTCATCACTCTGAAATATAAATAGCAAAGAAAGCAACAATTTCTCATTTGACACACATACCCACACACCAAACCCTGAAAGACAAAAAGAAAGGAAAAAGAAGTTGATCGGAATAAGATGAAACTTGTTTGGTCGCCGGAGATTGCAGCAAAAGCTTTTATGGACACCGTTAAATCCGTAAGCCTTTCATAATTCATCCAATTCTGGGTGTTTCTGCAAATTAAAATTGAGTCTATGTTGGATTGTATTTGAATAGTTTCTTTTCTGTTTCTGATCTGCTGTCATTTTTCTTTAAAAAGTGTGAACTTTTCGAAGGATCAAGCGTGGCGGAGCTAATATCGGCGATGGCCGCCGGTTGGAACGCTAAGCTCATCGTCGAAACATGGTCTCGTGGGGATGTGACAACAACGAGCATTGGCCTGGCAGTAGCAAGTACTCACACGTGCGGCAGACATGTATGCATAGTTCCCGATGAAGATTCGAAATCGGAGTACACCGCCGCCATGGAAAAAGCTGGAATGTCACCGGAAGTTGTTGTTGGGGAGCCGCAGGAGGCGGTAAAGGGGATGATCATCGATTTCTTGGTGGTGGATTCCCGTAAAAATAACTTCACCCGGATAATAAAGGAGGCGAAATTCGGCCACCGTGGGGCGGTGCTGGTTTGCAAGAACGCTAGCTTGACGACGGCGTCGGATTTCCGGTTGCGTAGCTTGTTTGATGGTGGATCACGGCGGATTGTGAGGTCGGTTTTCTTGCCGGTGGGAAAGGGGTTAGATATCGCTCACGTGGCGGCGGGTGAATCCGGGTCAGGTTCGGATAAAGTAAAGAAGAGCAGGTGGTTCAGGCGGGTCGATAGACAATCTGGTGAAGAGTTTATGATCCGAAAGTAGTTTCTTTCAAACTTAAAAAAAAAAAAAATAATAATAATAAAAAAAAATCTCTTTTTTCATTGATTTAATATTATAGTTTTCAGTCGGAATTTTGTAAATATGACCAGCAATAACAACTACTTTGGTGTTTCTGCTTCAAACCCCTATACTTGTTTATTTAATAAATTTTGTTTTATTTATAAAATAATCATTAAAACATATAATTTGATAAAAATATATTTCTTTATAATTAAAATTTTGACTTTAGGTTATAAAACGTGTCAGCAATTATTTTCAACAAAAGAATACCATATCTTTTATGATATCTCATCGGCATAGAAGCGTTTTCGTTTGAAGTTACTTGTTTTCAAATTAACTAATAGTGTGAAAGTACATATAATGAAGATATTTTGATTTTTCTTGGATTCAATTAATATTTAAGTATTTTATTACATCAAATGTTACAATTATCATATACCGACCAGAGGAGTATTTAATTGGTGGATCTTATGGTTGACTTTTTTAATGCCATCAATACTGTAATGAATGCAAAGGTTTTCTTGCAATTTAAGTTAAACAAGATACTTCGGGTTTTTAAAAGTTCATGAATATTAAAAAAAAGGGGTTGGCTAAGCAATATACACATACGCACTTATTTAATTACAAGTAAATTACAGAAATGGTCCTTGTGCTTTGGTTAGATTATACGTAAGTTTTGTTCTTTAAGTTTAAAAATTGATAGGTTGCATTGCTGTAATGCCCTGGTATGAATATTATAATTTTGGTCCTTGTTTCATATAAAAAACACTAACTTATCCTTCTTTTTTTTTTAATTTTCTTTTAACATTATTATTATTGTAATTATATAACAATTTTATTTGTTCTTTATTTTAATAAAATTTAAATTAATTTCTTATAAATTTCTTTTTATTTTTTAAAATTAATTA